CACTTAAAAATAAAAAGTATAAAACATGTCTCTTATATTCATCTGTTACTTCCATTTTAACGAAAATAAACAACTGAAATGTTCCCAATTCTGAACAGTATTATATGAATGAGATCCAATTTAACACTTCAGTGTAAAAAGTATCACATTAGACTGGCATTTCTAACAGCAAAACAAGATTTTTCTCAAGATCATAAAATATGGGAACTTATGGACTGACCTGATAATTTCCGATTTTTCATTAATTAATACAAAGTAAATTTTTATTTTTAAAATACAAGAAATATTTATCATCAAATCTAAATAAATTTTTAAAAAATGTATTGTTGTTTAGTATCTATAACCATCTAAATGTCTGATTTGAAAAACATTTAGATGATAAAAAAAAAAGCCATTAGAAAGAATAAACTGAGCTATTTTTAATAAAATTTACAAGCAATATTGTTTTTAGATATAATAATTGATATAACAATACAACATTGCCAATATAGTGTTATAGGAAAAGCAGTCATTATCAGTATAAGAATTTATATTTTCTTATAACCATATTCTTACAATATTCATTATAATTTATACTTCATTAATCTTTAATGAATCATTCAGTTGACATAAATTTTTTCCTATTAGATGTCATATTCTCATTATAATAATAAAACAGCTAAACTTGTTCAATTAAAGATGAGTTTTCCGGGTTTAAAGACAAAGCTCATAGTTAATTATGGAAACAGGAAATTGGTTCTATTTGAAAATCGACAGACTTCACTCTTTTAAGTCTAACTATATGTTCAAGTTAAAAAAAAGTTAAATTTATATTTAAAATTTTCTGTATAAAAATATTTTCCAGTTATAATTTAACATGTCAATGATGATATAAATTATAACTAGAAAATACCTTTAAAGAATAACTTTTATATTGCATTCTTTAATATTTAATATGAATCTTATGATATTCTATGAATAATTTTTGGGATATTTCAAAATGTAGGATAATGCAACAATCTTACTAAAAGATATATTAAAATAGAATAAAACATACGATGATCAGCACAAAACCTTTCTCACTAATTTCTAACCATATTAACAGGAGTACAAACGTTTTTGGCCTTCTTAATAGGCCTTCCTCGGGTACACTGTGGAGCGTCAGTTAGAAGAAGTTTAAATGCTGCCAATGTTTACCCAGTTATCGTCTTACCAGTGACGTCATCGTCGATGATAGGTATAGACAATATCGAGGGCAAAGAATACATACTTTTGGTAAAGAAGGGAGGTTTGCAGATAGGATACTTGCTAAAGTTGGGGAAAAAATTTTTAAAATAAGCGTGCTACGTTTTTCCCCAACTTTAGCAAGTATCCTATCTACACACCGCCCTTCTTTACCAAAAGTATGTATTCTACGCCCTCGGTATCGTCTATACCTATCATTGACGATGACGTCACTGGTAAGACGATACCTGGGTAAACATTGGCAGCATTTAAACTTCTCCTAACCGACGCTCCACAGTGTACCCGAGGAAGGCCTATTAAGAAGACCGAAAACATTTGTACTCCTGTTAATATGGCTAGAAATTAGTGAGAAAGGTTTTGTGCTGATAATCTTAGAAATAGTTCTAGCTACATATGCATAGTAGTGAAAACATACGATGATAAATATATTTTTTAACAATTGGTTGACTTATAAAGTTTGTATAAAAAAATAATAATTAATAATTTAATATAATTAAACATTTTACTGTAATTTATTTACATCTGAACTAATAAGAATAAAATAAAATTCCTTCTATAATAACTATATTTGATTTGAACTATATTAGTATTTACAGTACAATAAGACCCCACTTAACGCAGGGATAGGTTCCTAGATGACAAAGTGCTAAATGAAACAGCATTAAACAAGGTCATTTTAACACAGAGTAAATAAGGAAAGGGGAAGATATGACCAAAAAATAAACAGATTTTACTTTAATTTTAAGTTATTTTTATATTAATTTGCATAATAATATATGTTAAATAACACACAAACATATGCACACAAAAATGTAACATTCATTTTTTGTGGTGAAGGTCCTGGTTCTGAAATTCTTGTTTTTGCAATAAAGTCATGAAGTTTCATTTGTCACTTTCTTTTTCTTACCTAAAGCAAGTGTTGGTCCAAAATGCCTCATCTTGCTTTTGCACTCTTTTCAAAATCTGGATTATCGCTACAATTTGATCAACAATTTCAGTTATTGTTACCAAACTTTTACTAAGGAAATCTGCAGAGAGATTCTTTGGGTTCTTTGCTTTCAGAATCACAACTTTCCAGTTCTACATGAATCCCTTGTTCTGCTAGTTCTTGAAGATCATCATTGGTTAAGGCTCTCACCAGAAACCTGTGGTAACTTCTCAATATTCTGCTTATCTGCATCTCTTAGTCTTGCTGTATCGATTAGGTTGACCAATTTAATCAACCTAACGATACAGCGATAGGCTCTTCTCATTGAGAATTCTTTGATACCTTCAGCCATAACTTCTTTCACACTTCGTTCATGCATTTACCAGTTAATTCTTGCCAAGCAAAGTCGATATTGCCTATGGCATCCATGATGTTATATTTTTTCCAAAATTGCACCAAACAAGCATAGATAAGGAAAGTACAACACTACAACGAATTGCTGATTGGTTCGTGTTTGGGATTAATTGTATTGTATATGAATCAATGAAATGCCGTGATAATTTGAATCGTTGTAAATTTTGAGCTTGTTTTTAGGCTTTGAGCAGACCACGTTATATCAAATCAATGTTAAGCGAGGTCTTAATAAATTTTGAGTAAGAAATACAGTATTATTTTTATGTACAAATATCAAACTTTGAAACTAAAACTTTGATGTAATTGATTTCATTGGATAATCTTATAAATCTAAAGATAAATAAATATCTTGTTTGTTTTTAGGATTGTTTAACCACCTCAGCCATTTGCCATCAAATTTATTGCCTTAATAAAATATTTCACAATTTTTCCTTTTGGTTTTCTTTTAATAGAATTCCCATTATAACATGCAACTCTTATCATTAGATTTTCAGACAATCAATTTTCATACATATTTTTTAATGTCACATCCAATAGTTTGGGATTGCCTATGTATAGTTTATTTTATCATTTATACATTTACAAGATGCAAAGAATGTTTTTATAACAAAATCTTTAATTTTATAGAATAGATGAGAAAAAATCTGTAATATCATATTAAATTTAAATCTCTACCATATTTTATTAAGTTATAAAATTAAAATTACATATTCTAGGGTAAACCATTTCCATTACAAGAAAGTGATCTTGGATTTGATACTGGAGGTAAATATGAAAAATTTTTTTTTCTATTGAAGTTTGTTACAAATTCAAATTTCTTGATGGTATATTCAATTTCTAGATTATGTCCTCAATCATGCAGCCAAAATTTTACGGCTGCTCTACATTAACGATCTAAGAGATTTACAAACTCGAATCAATGAAGCTTTAGTAGCTGTGCAAACTGTAACTGCAAATCCAAAAACAGATACTCGGCTTGGAAAAGTAGGAAGATAAACTTTAAAGTTGAAAATAATAAGATGATTTTGGTTTATGATGATGATTATATGAAATTAAAACTTGCTTACTCTCAAGAATATATATATAATCAGTTTGTTTATGAATTTGTCAGTATATACAATGTTTCTAAAAATTTTCTCATCAGTTGTTTTTTTTTTAATATATTAAATTATAATATACAAAAAATTAATATCATTTGAATGAATTTAAATAAGATTTATTTATGGAAAAAAATAAATATTTAAAATTGAAGAAAAAGTTTTTGTTTACGTTTATTTCATTTTATTTCAGAGTTTAATCAATACATAAACTTTAAAAGTAAATAAGATAAAAACATTTTATAGCATATGAATAATAAATTTTTTAAAATTGGAATGTGAATATTTTATTTGAGTAAATTTTCTTAGCTTTTATATACACTGCACTTTTAAAGTACATGACAGTAGAATTGTTTCAGAAATCTGAATTTGCAGTAGTGATGGTATGAACACACGTTTACATATGGATGAAGTTTTTAATATTTATCTGAAAATAAATTTATAAAAAATATTAAATTTACTTATGTATTGAAATCAAATTTAAGTAAAAGTAATAATATAATAATCTAAGACTTTTAATTTTGTTCATCCAAGTTTTAACAATTATCTGATTATCACATTTTTCATGTTTTTATTTAAAATTTGGATTTAGAGTGGACAGGCTGTAAAAATAAAATAATAAATTTGACATTTACATTCATAACGAGATGCAGTTAGAATTCCCTCCCCACACAGAACTTGGAATGATCCCTTACGTGAACACTTTAAAAGTTTTAGATTCAAATTCTGTGAATGAATTTAAGCTACTACTATATTTTTGCAGATTGACTGGCATGCTGGAAACCCTGGGGTTATTGACATGCTTGTCTCAAATTTCATACATAGCAGATGTTAATCATGTAAGTTGAGATAATTTACAGCAAGTTTCTGAAATTTGATGTTTATTTTTGCATTTTTTGGATCAAAGTACAATAAAATAAACATAACATAAAAAAAAACTTTTGGCATTCCATGAATGTTTTACATCATTAGATAGTAAAAAAAAAAAATTCAGAAATTAAACATATAATTGTAGTTTTTGATGTAAAGCCAAGTTTCACAATTTTAGAATAAAAACTGGCATCTGAGACCTTATGCAACATAACTTCATTTTTTTTTTTTTTTTTTTTTTTTGTGTGTCCTCTGGATAGGGATATGTAACCTCATAAACTGACATGCCGGTTTTTACGATATGGATATATCTGATTTCATTGTCTTCCCAGAAGCACTGACATGCTGGACAATCCACAAAAATGCAGTATAACAAATTTTATTGCAAATTAATTTGTAATAGATAATAAAATAGTTTATTTTTTTCTTAGTTAATTTATTTCAGAATGATATAAGAATAATGATTTATTTGTCTTTTATTCTAATTTTGAGAGAAAGTTATAATAATAATAATTATATTATTTTAAGACAAAAATGGAAATTCACAGTAAATTCTTTGGTTGTGAATTTTAATCTGAGTAATTTTTGGAATTTTTGTGTCTGTATAATATTTTTTGAAGTTTTGTTTTAATATTTAATTATTCTTTAACATAAAGTTTTCAGGATAAAATTTTATATAGCAATTAAAGTTTTTATCCTCTACTGGGGTAATAGTAATTTACTGATGATGATAAAATTGTTGATTTGAAACATTATTTTTTTTTGTTGATTTTTGTTTTCTTACTTTTAGCTTTTAATGAATTTTTTTCCTATTACTTAATTGAAACAGTCACAAAGTTAGTTAATAAATTGTAAAATGAAATAGAAAATATTAATTTTCTACTTCATTTTACAGTTTTGAATTAATCCATGTTAGTTAATTTCGAATGTAAATTTTTCAAATCGGATTCATGATACTTGTAGAATATTTCTTCATTTTTCAAATGTTTGATAAATGGAACAGCTTTTTACTTAAAGAAGGCCTCTAAATGCAGCCAAAAACATTTGTAGTTCAGAATAGGCATTGCTGAGATAAGTAAGAAAAATGCATATCAGTATTAACAGTCACAAATATAAATGAAATTTTAGTTTTAGTAATGAATTAGTTTTATTTCATCCATGATTATGAATTTTCTGAAGATAGTCTGATATATTTTATTCTAGAAAATTCATAAAGATTTATTAAAGATTTTAATGCCTGGTAGTGTACTGTATTGTGCCAGTGAGATAGTATACTATATAGACTTACAGCCAGAAAACTTGAAACCCAGCTGACAGAACATGCTAGAGCCATTGCCCTAAATAAGTTAGATACTGAGCTTGCGAGGTTGACATCTTGGGAGAACTAAATACTCCCTTTGGGATCATATATGATGTCTGTTTTCTCCCAGAGATATCACCATAATCTTTTTTGGGAATCCTTTATATACAGCTTGAGGATTATCAACTTTCCATTTCTAATCTAACTATGCAATTAATTTTTTGATTACTTTGAAAACTAAGTTATTACAGAATTATTTGAAATCGTACAGAAAAACAAACAGGCTACATCTTGATAATTAATCCATTTTATGAACTACGTAAATATGTGTAATTTGTATAAAGGTAGGTAGTTAATTTCAAATATTTTAAAATTTAAACCTAACATGTGTCATATAATATAACTTAAATGCTAAATTTTATTTAGATTTATTGTAGTTTAACATCCAAAATTTCAAAAATTTAATGAATATGTTCTGTAGATTATATCTGATAAAAATATATCATCAAAATAATTTTTATAATTTTTGCTTTTTGTGAAATGATACTTTGTCATTATTGACTGTGTGATTATTTTAAATATGAATGGAAGAGATTTATTTATTTTATTCAATATAATGTAACTCTTTATAACTCAAATTATATTTTTTGTATTGTATTTTTAAATTATCCAGAAAACAATGTTCTAAGGATAAATACTTCTATATATTCAGGAATTAGGATATGATAGTGATGAGTGCCCTTATTTAAACATAAAGGAAATGTGATCAACCATATTTTATCTTTTACTGTGATGTTATGCATGTAACCAAAAATCTTATAAAATGGAAAAAAATTTATTTTACTCTTTTTGGTCCTATTGGAACTTGGAGGGTTAGCTAATATTAATTTATTAAGAATATATTTTTAATGTGTGTGTCTAATTTTCTCTTCTGTTTGTAATTAATAATTTTTGTAATTTTACAACTTACTTTTACACATCATTGCAAGCTTCATCAATTTCTGAACCTTCTTGATAATCTGGACAGACACATGTTCTTCCTCCTTTACCATCTGGGAGGCAAAGATGATTACATCCTCCATTGAATGATCCACATACATTATTTACTGTTAACAAAAAAGTATCCAATAGAAATTATTTATTTATAAAATTATTAAAAATTATAAATTACTTATGATATAATTTTATTCCTACTCTGTGGACATTGATATGGAACAGAAACAATTCCATATAATTTTCCATTTCCTCCAAGAGGTATTTCTAATGGTTCAGCAGTTCCACCATTTTTATCAACTTTTTGTATAAAATTTCTATAAAAGAAAATATAAAATTACTAATATTTTCAATATCTTATATAATCTTTTATTCTTTAATGACACTGTTATTGAAACTGATGATTATTTATTTTCAAAATGTCTTCTGCATTATCCAGTTTTTAAATATAAAAATTTTGTTTATTCTTATGATAAAAGATTTGTGTAAGATATTAAATTATTATTAATCAAATTATATAGAAATTATGTAAATGAAACAAAACATATGAGCTGAATGAATAAATGCCATTGCAACTATTCATGATTGTCTCACAATCAGACAGTCATCTATCTCTTCTGGTGGCCTGTCTGGAACATCCAGAGCCTGGCCATTGGGGACTGTGGATACATGAAGGTGCCAATGTCTCAGTCAGGTTAGAATAGCCCAGATGGCAGGCAATTTGGTGAAATGATTATTCTACTTTTTTCAGCCTGATGATGCAATCTTACTCAAACTCCTTCAGCTGTGAATATTGTCTTTGGCATTCAAAGACTTCCAAACATTGACTGTATTCACAATTTTCAATAACTGTGGGTGTAAAAGTTGGGGGTGTAGGAGCAACTGCCCTCCCAGATTTGATCAGAACAATGAGGAATATCCAACCAAAGAATGAATAAAAACCAAATCAGACAGACAAAGCCAAAAGGTTAACAAATCTATTGTTAAAGGAAAAATATGATGTACAGGGCAAGCACTACTAATTTGAGGTGGAGAGCATATATTTTAAATTAAATTAATTTTTAATCATATTCTAAATTAATTTAATTGTGACAAGCAATTATTTATCGTGACACTGTTTTCTTTGTACTATCTTCCTTGGTAGCATATGAGTAGAGAAAAATTAATTTTATATTTGTTTAATGTGATAAGCATATTTCCAAAGAAAAAAAGTCTCAAATTATATTTTTATCTGGGTCTTTGTTCTGGCTTTAGTGTGTATAGTTTATATATTTATTCCTTATTAGCATATCAAAGTAATACATTTTTTTGAAATACTTACATTTCCCAATCAGTCCAGTAAATATTGTTGTTTGCAATTGTTAAGTCAAAAGGATATGCTGCTGGAGTGTATATTATACGTCGTCTATATCCATCTACATTAATACATTCAATACGACGCAAACCTATTTGTAACATTAAGCTTAAATCAGTTTATCTTTATTTAAAATTCTTAGACACTAAGCATATTTACTAACCTGCATCTGTCCAACATAAATCATCTCTTTCCAGATCAATAGTAAGCATGTTAGGAAGACCTAAATCTTCTGAAATAAAAACTTTACGTTCTGAACCATCCATATTAGAAGTTTCAATTTTTGGTTCATTTCTGTTCCAGTCTGTCCAGAATAATTTCCTGTGTGTTAAGAAATTAATTTTTAAATTTAAATATTTTACAGTTTAGTTAAATTTTAAATATATTGATATAATTATGTACCCTCTGCCTGGATGAAGAGTAATACCTCTCGGATTCACTAGGTTTTCACGTATTAATATTTTATGTTCCATTCCATCCAATTTCATCACTTCTATAGTATCCTTGACTGAATCTGTCCAGTAAGCATTTCTACTAATCCAGTCTACAGCAATGCCTTCAGGTGATTTTACTTCTACACAAAAGTTTAATGCCATATAAATATAAATATAAATATTAATAATAATGGTAAAATTGTATCAGGAAAGGAATTGTGATGCCAAATGGCCAAATCATCAGGAGCTTACAGAATAAAGTATAAACGCCTTGGAATTTTACAGCTGGATACTATCAGACGTGGATAAGTCAAGAATGTGATTAGTAATATATTAAAATATTTAGGACAAAATTGAATATTGGAATACCATCAAAGCCATCATTCCTTTAGCCATTCCTGTCAAATGATACACTGCTAGAATTATTAACTGCTGATTGTCATAACCTAGACCATAAAACAAGAAAATTCATGACCATTCACTATGCATTACATCCCCAGAGTGATATTAATAGATTGTACCTGCCTCACAGAACTGGAGACAGAGGTTTACTGCAAGTCAAACAAAGCATTGAGAAAGAAAAGCATGCAGTGGCTGATTATATTAAAGACAGCCGAGAACATTGCTGAAAGTTAAAAATCAGAACTTGTTGAAAGTACAAGAAATAAAGCATGAATACCATAATAATGTAATAAAAACAAGAACAGAAAGCTGGCAAGGAAAAGCACTTCACAGCTAATTCCTGAAGATCAAAGGGAAAGTGGATAAAAATAAAACCTGACAAGGTCTTACAACTAGAACATTGAAGAAAAGAAACTGAAGGTTTGATTCTAGCATCCAAGAACAGGCAATTATAACAAATGCAATCAAAGCCAGAGTTGAAAAATTATTAACAGATTCATATTGTTAAAAGAAGTAGCAGAAAAAGTGGAGTGCACATACTCAGTTCATGGGGAAAAAATTGCACAAACTGAATATAAACAGTGGCATAACACAGTTGCCAAAATGATTCACTGGAAATTGTAAAAATTACCATCTTCCAATAGCTAACTGGTAGGAACATGCTGCTGAAAAGAAAATGATAACGTAAAAATAGTATGGGATTTTCAAATCCAAACTGACAAAATGCTGGCACATAATATATACTAGATTTAACAGTGATTGAAAAGAAAAAGTGTGGATAACTGACATAGCAATACCTGATAACAGCAAGTTAAAGAAAAAGAACTGGAAAAGATAAAAAAAAAAATACCATGATCTAGAAATTGAACTTGAAAGATTATGGAACAAACCAGCAGTTATAGTCTCAGTGGTTGTAGATACAATGGATGCCTTGGTATGGCATCCATTGTATCTATGACCACTTTGGATGTACTTGGAGCATCTGCATGTTGAAAAGAATCTCAGCTGTCAGCCACACAAGGCTACACTGCTAGGATCTGCACATGCTATCCCATTACATTACAACATTCTAAGTTCTTGGGAAGAACCTTATATATATGTTAATCAATACCAGCTAGCAGCTATGATTTCACAATGTTGATGCATATGATATAGCATAATAATTCAATCACATTTACAGTATTTTTATTAATTCTTACCGTGGGTAAAAATAATTTCACTTTCTGAACCGTCATATTTCACTCTGCGAATGGCTTTATGAGAAATATCAGTCCAATATATATATCCTTCTTGACAATCAACATCCATTCCAACAGCAGTTTGATATGCTTCCATTAGTAATAGTTTTCCTTGGTCTTGTTTAGTTGGATTGTATGGCATTTGCAATAATGACATTCCTTGAGCAAACACTAGAAAATTACCCTCATGTCTTGGTGCCACTGAAAAATGTTTTAATTATTACGTATTAATCAGAATTTTTAAAATGGATTTGTATTTACTTATTAGATCACAATCAAATAATATTTATAATTACAATCTACAAGTATCATAGTCTACACTGAAACCTATCTCTGATTATATTTAAAAGAAATGATTTTTATGATTTTGAAATATTAAACTGTTATGTTTAAATAAAAATGTCATGTTTACCATTACAAGTGGTCCCATCTCCTGTATAACCACTTTTACATTGGCATACATATCCGGAAGTTGTATAAATGCATTCGGCATTGTAATTACATAAATATGGATTTTCGTGGCAGGTTGCAATTGGTGTACATGTAACACCATCTCCTTCATAACCTTGCAAGCACTGACAACGATAACTCTGGACATTGGGATCATACACACATTCTGCATAAACGCTACAAGTGTAAACAATATTACATGATACAACTGCAGGTTGACAAGTTAAACCATCTCCTTGATAACCAGAATTGCAATGACATCGATATTTTAAATCGACATGATCATAAATGCAACGAGCATTGATGTCACAATTATTTACAATGTTGCATGTAGCATCTGTAATAAAATTTTAAAATATTACTATTCTTATATTAAATTTTATTTTTAAATAAAAGTATATTTATAGCTTTTTAATATAATATATATTATTTAGGAGTTATAATAATATTAAATAAATATTTCATTCAATCTCTCATGTTGTTTAATTTATGAAAAATGTTTGTTGACATAATAAAATTTTAAACTTTCTATTATTACTATTTTTAATCTGTTTTTTTTTTTTTGTTTGTTTTACTTAATTTATTTTAATGAATATAAGAAATTATTAATATTCGTCTTGTTTGAATATAATTTTGAATTTGATTTAAAAGTGGGATTAGTATTAGTGACATTTTATATTAATTAATAGTTGGCTGGATGGCCTTTGTATAGATACCATCCCGCCTCCTGGATTTTAGTTTGGATTCAGAAACATCAAGTTTTTCGTGGATAGTCTGTCTTGTATATGTCAGAATCTGCCCCTCATCACTTGGCTGTTTCCATTGTAGGCCTGGCCAAAACAATAATGGACATGGAAAAAAGGTCATCTTAGTATCCAAAGGGTGGAAAGAAGAAGAAATTTTTAAAAATCATTTCATTATGAGTTAATTTTAGTAAATATCCAAAATATTTTTATGACCAACTCTTTCTATGCTATCTAGTTTGGAATTTTTTATACCTGTATATCAATTTTGCATATACAGGATAATGAATATTTCAAAAAATTCTATATGATATTTAATTGTTGAATTATTTTTTTATCAAATTCTGTTGTAATAGAAATAAATGTTTACATGATATATTATAAATTGTGTATGTCCCATGTTTTGGTAAAAGATCAAAAATTGAAAAATTGCAAAAACCAGTAAAAAAACATTAACAAGTTTTTTTTAAAGAAAATTGTTTATTTTTAAGTAAAAATTGCAATTTTGTAAAAATCACCCCCATTTACAATCTCAGTTTTGGGTCTAGTAAAAAAGTATAAAGTTTGTGTCAAAATAAACAAAGGTGAAAAGTTATTAACAGAAGATGAGGCTTTTTATAATGGAGGATTTGAAAGAATATATAAAAATAGCCTTCATTTACATATAAATTTTATTGTTCCATTTTGGGGTCCACTAAATAAATGATGATATAGAAATCTACATAGAAATAAACCCACATATTTTATGCTCAGTTATCAGCAAACTGCATGATATATGCTTTTTTAGAATTCTCACAATCTTTCATACCTCTGTATACTAATTTTAACTCTTGTATTTAAATGTTTTAACTTCTATCTGCTCAATTTTTTATTAAATCTGTGTGGAAGAAAAATTGAGTCATTCCACTCAGAATCCACTAAAACAACTAAGATCTTATTGACATGTTTAGTTGTTAACTGCTTAACTTCACATACAAGATATTCATAATTAACATCAAGTTTATTTAGTTTTCTCGTTGGAATAGTTTGAAGTGTACCAATCATATTTAGCTTTTTCAAAGTGTCCATGCATATAAGAATAACTTTATAATGACCTAATGCTAAAATGTGAATTCCATTTTCTTATATATATATATCTTATCATGCCGATATGAAAGAGCTATCTTCTTTACTTGCACCGAATATATTTCATGCTTAGTACTTCTAATTCTAATAAATCGATTATTAGAGAAATAAGTTGGTGTCATTTAAATTTGCCAATTGGTGAACAATTCGGGTTTTCGAACCAAATTATACATTTGATTGTAGAAGAAAAGTTCATGGTTTAATATTTAAAAGACCTGCAAATCAAAGATCTGAAGGATAAATAATGAAGTTCCAAATTATCTATACAGTACTAATATTATAAAGAGGTAATGTTTGCAAGTTTGGATGTAGCTGGTAATCTCTGAAACTACTCATCCGATTTCGAAAATTTTTTCACCAATATTTAGAATGGAACTTCAGGGTGGACATAGGCTGTATATTATTCCGGTAAACATTCATATAAATTAAAAGATATCATCTAGGTTAAGGCTTTTATGTCCAACAGATGGCACTATGAGTACGACACCCTAAGTTTGCTTTTCTGTGAAAATGAACTAAAGCGGATCATCTTCTATCTATCTATATAAATAATAATGTAATGTTCATTTGTTCCTACCAATTTTTTTGAAATTTTGACACAACGCTGCATTTGAATACGCACATGTTTTTATATAATATACATGTAGAAATTCCCTCCACTGAAGGGAGACAGTTAGGATTAAGGCTTAACATAAAGAACTCTGCTTCTATTTATACTATTTTAGATCCGGGTTTTTGCGTTTTTGATTGTGTTTCAAGAGAATGTACACTAAGAAGAAACTTTTCTAAAAATTTTCCGCTCCACGGGGGAAGTGTTATACATTTATAATAGATACATTTTGAGCCACAACAACGCATGGCGGGGTCTGCTAGTATTGAATATTTATATAAGTTATTTGGTTATAACTAAACATAGTAATAAGATCTTAGTTGTTTTAATCGATTCTAAATGAAACGACTCAAATTTTTCTTCCACACAGATTTAATAAAAATATAACATGTATTTTATTTAATGTTTTAACCTCTATATAAGAATTTAAATTAGTATACAGAGGTATGAAAGATTGTGAGAATTCTAATAAAGCACATATCATGGAGTTTGTTAATAATTGGGCATAGAACATGTGGGTTTATTTTTACGTTGATTTCTATATCATAATTTATTTAGCGGACCTCAAAATGGAGTAGTAAAATTTATATGTAAATGAGGGCTATTTTTATATATTCTTTCAAATCCTCTATTATATAAAGCTTCATTTTCCATTAATAACTTTTCACCTTTGTTTATTTTGACATGACCTTTACACTATTTTTTAACTGGACCCAATATGGAGATTGCAGTTTTTACTTAAAAATAGACTATTTTCTTTTTTAAAAATACTAATTTTGTTGTTATTTCTTTTACTGATTTTTGTGATTTTTTTTGATTTTTGTTCATTTACCAAAACATGGGGCAAAACTTTCATTTATACACTACTATCATGTAAATACAGTAGAATCTTGTTTTAATGTATTGCTCAGGTAGTCAAAAATTATCCATTGTTCTGAGAATACATTATATTGTGAACAACAGATTTCCCATATATTCAGGAAAATCTGTTGTTTGATAAAATTTTCATGTTTAATCTCCTACATATAATGCTAGTACTTAAAATTATTCAATCTCTCAAGATCTCTCTCCTTTAGGCTACAGAAACACATATGTTACAAGATCGCATAGCTCATTAGCATTTCACTCGACTTCACAATTTGTTAAAAAGTTCCTCTATCTTGGTTTGTTTTGATACCACTTTTCTGCTTATTAAATACAACAATTATTTGATATTAATGCCATGTACAATCTGTTCGTTTATGGTGAAACTCGTAAGAAAGGTCTTCGTGACTTGGAAAGACTCGATAGCCTTGCTAAATTTTGGCACTATATTTCGACCAGTGGCGGCTCCTCAATCATGTCAGCTTACTGACTCTGTGTGTACAATTCTTCAGTTGTATTGTATGTATCCCAGATATAACAAGTGCATCATCAAATTCTACAAATTCCCAGAAACACCCAAATATTAACTAAACATAGAAAAAAATGCAAAGTTTACAATGGATGGAGCTAGAAAAATCCATTATTCTGAGTTACAGATCTGCTAAAAGGAGATAAAATTATATTTATTTGGTGGGACCTGGAGAAATTTATTTAGAGAAATTCGTTGTTCTGCGATCTGTTAAAACAAAATTCTACTGTTTGTTTGTTTCTTGGTGATGATTGAATTACTTTATATTAATATTGTTTATACTTAATATTACAGCATATATATACTGTATATATATTTATTTATTTTGTTTTTTTTTCATTATAATACTCTTAATACCTTTAATAAAATATTAAAATTTAATTTAAACGATACAAATCATACAAGCATTATATAAACAATATACAATAGAGTCGAATCATCGATTATAATCATGGATATTGTAATCAGATTTCAGTTATAGTTATCATCATTAGATACTTAGGCATTTTTAAGCAGTTTTTTTCTCTATCAAGTTCAGCATGTGCTAATTAAGCAGAATTGTTATCAGTCTTAACCAATATTTTAAATTCTGAATAAATATTAAACAGAAAATGAACATGAACCTCAAATTCAGTGCATTTTCTATTTGGTATTCCTACTGTCTAGTTCTGAGATCAGAGATTTGAATGGGTATTGTTTTAATTTTATTTGCTTGCAGTATAGAAGTTTAAATTACTGGAATTTCTTCAATTATTTGCTGGTTTGAGTTACTAGTAATTAATAAATTTTCAAATTTCTAACTACTTCAGCAAAGGAGGAGTTAAAAAGCATGTGAATGTTTTCAAAGAAAAATATTTGATAATTTCAAATATAAATCTTTTAATTAATAATCAATAATTAAAATTTTATGCTATTAGCTTGTAAATAAATAATAATATTATTCTCTCAATTAAAACAAAAAAAAACTTGTCATTATGATATAATATCCAAATAATTTAAGATGATTTGGTATATACTTTTTTGAAGAATTATTTTTAAAACTAATTTTAATTTTTAAAAACTAAATGATGATAATTAATTACCAGTTGCTGGTGAACAGGTTTTTCCATTTCCAACATATCCATTATTACATACACATCTGTAATGTTCTGATTGAGTGTCATAGATACATTGAGCATTTTTGTCACAATTTTCTACTGTATTACATTCATCTGAAAAAAATTTCAATGGTTATTATAATTTATCACAAGATTCATGTATATGAGCTTTTAATTTGTAAAATATCATAACAATTCCTCCTATGTGTCAGTAGATTTTTGCTTAATAATAGTCATAATAGATTTTTTAGCATGAACTTCCATACAAATGGAAGCCTATGTATAAAATTAAATTAAAAGACTGCTAACTCAATAACTCAAAAACCAGCAAAAAGAACTCACTTTAACTCAGAAAATGTTTTCTTTCATCTTGAATGACATTTTTTAACATATGGATTCCAATTTCAAATGTTAAAGTCTGCAAGATGTCCATTTAAGATGGAAGAAAATGTTTGCTGAGTTAAAGTGAGTTCTTTTTACTGGTTTTTGGGTTAATAGTCTTGTTGAAGTTAACCAGTATTTAGTAGTCATCATTTGCAACATGAAAACATACAGTAGATAACAAATAACATTTTTTTGGTGTTTGTTAATTTTATAAAACTTCATATATTTACATGAGAAATACATTTGCATGAAGAAGATGGGATGAGGATAAGAATAAACCCTAGATCACTTTTGTAATAAATACCTATTCTTAAATAAAAGATAACACACTAAGACAAAGACATTTCAATGAACTCTATTGTACTTTAGTGTATATGAATTGCTGGAAAAATGGCTAATATATTTAATTAGAACTTTTATAAAACAAGCTATCATTGACTGTAATAATTTTTATGTTCATGCTAAAGTTTAGTCTTTTAATATAATTAAATTTGTTTGCACGTAGAAGGCATTCTTAGATGATTTTAATATAATTATTTTATAACAAATTATAGGAGTTATTTGTTACTCAAAAACAGTTAATTCTATGACATTTACAAAATGATTACCTATAGCTCTGCAAGTAAGACCATCACCATCATATCCATTTTTACATTGACATACATATTTCTGAAGATATGAATCATATACACATACAGCATGTACTGAACAAACGTTAACAACGTCACAACTGACTTCATCTGAAATGTAAATAAGAATTTTCAAAAATCACAATTTGAAATTCTGTATTAAATTATTAATTGAACAAGTTAAAGGAAAATATTTTTTTATAAATTTTTTATGATAAATTTTAAATTTAATAGTTTGCTATTAAGTATATATTAGGTGAAAATTTTCAAGTAACAACTAACCAGTAGCCAGATGGATAAAATTATTGAACATCAGATAACACCTGACCAATGGGCTGACCAAATGGCATTTTCTGAATTTTCATCACAAATTAACACACAAATAAGGACACATCAAGAAAACTCCACAAAGGAAGCCCATTTATCAGGTGCAAATGTAGGACCAGCTACTAGTGTTTAAGTGGTTTTATCCACTTGGCCACTGGTGGATTTCTTATATCAATGAATAAAATATAAATTTATCTGTAAAATATAACTTTAAGATAAAATTTAAAAACTTCAATCAAATTTTATTAATAAAATAGTCTAATAATAATATATATTAGTATTAGAACTAAAGCCTTTTTAGGCATAAAAATGTGAAGTGTTTTGTTTAAAATGTTAATACCGTTGTCCCTCTATAGTCTGACGTTTTTTAATCCGACATGCTCAGTAGTCCGACGCACCTCCCGTCAAGGTACCCGTCCCCGTTACGTGTCTGCTTGCACAGAAGCATGTCGCGATGTGAATCTCCCCATCCAATTCTTACTCGATGACACACATTTTGTGTGTTTTATGTGAGCAGTTCTGTTCGAACAGTTGGAGTAGAGAATATTGTAAGTTACTGCTAGCAAAACAATGCGA